AAAAATAGTAAGAGTGATGTGTGTAGAGATTGGGACTTTGTGAATCAAATGATGCAAAATTAGCATAATGAAATACAAACATCATTTGGTCGCATCATCAAAGTATTGGAACAAAGAATATATACACTCATTACATTTTTTCACAGAATATTAATAAATTAATTTGTTCACAAATTACGTTGTTTACACTGAATATTATATTGTTTACACGTAATATTAAAGAAAAAATGTTCTTCATCGTCATCACTGTCAGTGAAAAACAAATGTTGTATATCTTAGAGAAGATAAAATGTCAGGGATCCTCGTTTCATTGATCCTAAGAAAGACCAAATGTATGCTGTAAAACAAAAAAACAAGTTAGATAAATAAAATAAATATTTATTTATATAATTATTTAAGAACACAAACCTTGAACCCATATAATTTTTTGTTCTTGCAATCCATCATTGAGAAATTTTCTCAACAAAATACTGAATTCATTCTTGCCTTTTTTAGTTTCTAAATTTTCATGTCAAATGTTTCATTGTCAATTTTTAATATTCATAATGTTTTTATAATGAGAGTTTTAGGTTTCACGAGAATCACTAATGACAGTGTCTTGACCGTTGATACTCATTATATGCATGACAAAGATTTGGTTAAGAAACTGTATAAATCACGCTTATATTTTACCTCAGTTATTACTTAAAACAGAGGTAAAATATGTTTTTTTTAAATTAAAAAAAAAAACAATAAAATATATTTCAACCCTAATGGCATATACCTCTCGGTTTCAGTTGAAAACCAAGGGGAAAAAGCTTTTTGTTTATATTTACATTGTTTATACAAAATTAAAATAAAATGTTTAAACAAATCAATAGTTTGACAATGGATTCTTGAAGAACAACCTGTCTTTTCAAATTTGTGATAAGTTATATGCTCCAACTAAGAGAAAAATATATATGTGCTTGCAATCCATCCTAGAGATATTTCATTATCTTAAGCAAAAAATTTCATGGCAAATGCTTTCACATGAAAGAGAACGTGAAAGAAATGATGATTGTGTTTAAGAATAAATTTCTCAATATTGTCAACCGAGAAAAACAATCAATTTCTCAAAGTTTTCTTTGATTGAAAACATAGGAAAGTTATTACAAACATACAGTAACACCATCAACATCATTATGTGAGATAGATTGCAAGGGTAGAAAAAATGGTTTATTTTTATATTGAAGAACAATGAAGATTTTTCTGTCTTATAATTCATCCCAAAGAATAACGCATAAACTTTTGGAGTGGTTACATATAAGTTAGATTTATGGTAAAATATAATTAACGAGTGTTTTTATAGTAAAATATGATAATCTAATCCCTCGATTATTAAATATAACTAAAGAAATAGATCATTAATTTGAAAATTAAAAATAAATTGAAAAGAAATACACCACTTTTAAAGAAATAAAAACATAAACTACTGATGCTGGGATTCGAAGCATGTCCTGAATTATTTTTTCCATCGATTTTATTTAGAAACTGAAGGAATATATGATATTTATTAAAAAATAAATAAAACATGGCGCGTCTTGACCTTTTACCTCAGTTTTTGGTTGAGTGAGGTGAAAATTTTGTCATGAAATTTATATTTGTAGTAGCGAACTGGTCGTATTTTGTGCATTAGATGACTTTCTAAAACGCGACATTTTCTTCAAGTTTATTTAAAATTGGGACACCATATACCACTGACATCACTAAAGTGGATAACTCATTCAACAAGAGAAGTTGAAACTTGACTGAATCATTTTTTGAATAGGATGCAAGAATTCACCAAATTGAGCGACATCGAAAAAGAAACAAGTAAAGAACAATCAAAGGTGCAAACCACCCATACATATAGATTTAGAGGGTGACACATGTTCGATATCCATTATTTTTATTCAACAATGTATTTATATGGTTAGACGTGTTTTATATGTAATCTTGTATTAATATTAATGATGGCAAGCGTATATATTTTATATTTTAATGTATGTTTCAATTTTCAAAAAATTTCACCAATTCCTTATTCTAAAATAGGTTATGTTTCTAAAATAGATTATATATAAATAATGTTGGGTGAATCCGAAAATACATATCCGGACACACCCCAAAGGTTTAAAAATATACGACTAGAGATTTATCCAGAAATGTGTTTTCAAATGCACCTTTATTTCACACATTTCCCTAAACAAAATTGGGTGTATCTGGAAATGCAGTTTTGAAATATATCCTAAGCTAGAATCAGGTTTTAAGGTTCATATTGGCCTAAAAGTTGTAAAAAAATATAAGTCTCTCATCTCATCTTTTTAACACACTCATATCACCCCAAAATGAGTATATATTAGCATTCGGGTTTGTCTACTTTAACGGTGCGAAGACTACACTTAGATTTAAGCTCATTGTGTACATCTCTCTTGTAGATCTGAAATAAATACTAGAGAATCTCCTAGAATACTCAGATAATCAAAAAATTGTGAAACTCGAGTATTGTTCACTCTTAATTGACAACGAAGAAAAAGTTCAGTTCAACAAATTTGAGATGAAAAGGGATGAAGATTTAAAGGTTATGAGAGGTACATTTCATCGTTGCGAAATAAAAGGTTCGATCGAGTTAGATGCAAAGATTGCAAGATTCATTGAAGATATTCTGAAGATGTTGAAACATCTTACTTTATAATGAAATGTATTGTTTGATTTATGTTAACGATGATCTATGCAATGTTTCGTTTTTTGTGTTTATTCATAGTTCATTAAGATTTGGAAATACCTCTTCGTAAGGTATACAAATATGCATATTCAAATTAAATTTTGTTATAAAATTGAAGTATGACTCAATAACAAATGAATTGTGTTTGAATGGAATGCGCTCCAAGATGCACTTTGAGATTCTAGGGTGTGGTTCAATAATAATAATAATAATAATAATAAAATGCAATTCCTAGTAAAATGGTACATGTTTTTCCTTAAGCTTCTTACACAACTTTGTTGTTTTATGTGTTGATGAATGATAACAAGGTTTTTGTCACAATGTCTATCTACCATACAACTTAGGGGGTAGTTGATAAACAGACATGTTCACTCCATATAGATTTATCTTGCAAAATTTTGTAAAAAAAAAGATAGAGCAGAACAGTCATATTTGAGAGTATGAACATAAAACTTTGATTTGTCCCAAGAAAAAAAAAAAAGAGGACAGGACCAACCCACGAGTTGCAGTTTTAAAGCTAAAATTACAAAAACTTAAGTAAGTGTTTGCGTCTACAAAATCCTGAAAAAAACAGAAATACATTAAAGGATATGAGTTTAAAATTTTGACCATAAAAAAGTATAAGCAAAACAGATATATTCGATAGGTCAAAGTTGTTTTTCCATCTCTAATATGTTGACCAGGTATATTCTAACAAAATACGATGAAATTATCTAAGAAAAATAAACATGAGAAATATTTGAAATAAAATTTGACACTTGTAATATTTGTTAATAGAAATGACAAATTTGACACAATTAATAAGTGATACCATTTTATATTTGAATTATAAAATAAAATTCTCTATATATTTTTATTAATAAAAAAATATAATGCTCACCATATTTATACCTACCATGTACAAGGTGTTTCATTTTGTGTTTAATGTTGTGTTTATACAACGCAATATTTTAAAATCGGACCGAATCCATTGGTTCAACCGATTGAATTAAGAATCAGAGATGAATTAGTTGAATCAACCTTTTAAAACTGATAGTGGCTCAAAATCAAAATAAAATCGAAAAAACTAAATTGAACCGTCTAAATTCATTTGAAGCAAAGAATCGGAGTCAATTTTGTAAACTCGCCCCGTTCAAAAAAAATTATCAAATTGACCATGTTTTTAAATTTTTTTTCAAAAATTTAATTTGTCAATATCAAAATTTAACATAAATTCTACAATCACACAAAAATTATGTATTTTTTTTATAACCATACAAATTTTTAAATTTTGTCACTCTATTATAGTTTTTCTTTCAACCACGCTTCATCCTCGTAAGGTCGTCTCTTTCAAATATAATCACTATGTCCAACTCTATTGATTGTCACTCATATCAATATTGTTTGTTTTTGTCCATTAAAATTATTTGTCGTAGTTCAACTCAAATTCGTTTTTTTATTATTTAATAAAATATATTATATTATTTATTTTTGATATTCTATCTTATTTAATTTAATTTTTTTAATTATTATTTTATTTTATTTTATTTTATTTTGAATTAATTTAACTTATTTTTTTAATTATTATATTTTATCATTTTAATTTTGTTTTGAATTAATTTACCTTATTTTTATTGTTGTTATATATATTATCAATATTGGTATACTAAATTGATTGAAAATTTGAGACAATTTCGTCCCCAATTGTTTAAAATCCCTAAATCAAACAATTTCATTTTTATTTTCCTTTTTTCCTTTATACTAGAATCACGTATTTTGTTAATATTGGTGCCTCCAAATAATTTAAATCCTTCTATAAACAATTTAAATCCTCTCTGTATTTGTAGGTTGTATTATGTTTTGAATTTTCTACTTATTTTCTACCTAAATGTATTTGTATTAGTTTCCGTACACACGCCCAAATACTTTAAAAATGCGACTCAAATTCAATTAAATTATGAGCAACTTCTTACCAAAATAACATAATTTACTCTTGATTTCCTGTAATAAAATATACTACACGAAAATAGAGCTCCATTAGGAATCTAAAAGAAATACAGCACAAATCATACATGTCAAGATAACAAATGTAACGCACATGGAAGCATCTGGGTGGGAAAGAACTTCCCTCCCTGCAAACAATCTGTTCTACAAGATTCAGAGTTTTCTTTTTCCAAAACAAAAACAATCTATATAATAACTTATTATAAACTGATAACATTTGTCATAAAGTCCAATGTAAGGATTCCATTGGCAACACATAACAAACACAGACAAAGGAAATCATCAGTTTTTTTCTTTACTCTTCTGCGGCGCTGGCGGCACTAAGATCCACAGAGAGGTCGAGAACCTGTTCAAGTTCATTCACCACGTTAAGAATTCCAAAATCAGGAAATTAACCAATTAATCACAAAACTATCAAGAGAATATGAATATTTTGTAGATCTCAATGCCAAACAGCAGGGTCAGACCAGGTTCTAGTACATTCATGGGTTTCCTTGTCAATCCCATTGGGGATATTCTATTTGTTAACAATTGTAAGATGATTTTATTTTCACAAAATACATACAACAGCAAAACTGAAGAATCAAATTTTCAGCCATACAGCTGTTGTGCCAGGAATAGAAAGATGAAGATGAAATCCAAAATTTTCAATGCAACTTGGAATTAACTTTGTAAAAGCAACCAAAAGATAATGATATGATAGATTACAACCATTATAATCTTAAACAATGGTGTAAATGACTATAGTAAAATCAAGCACAGAAAACAACTGGTCACAAGGACAGAAAAATTACCTTGCCGGTTATCAATGTATACATGTTGAGGACATCCACTACAGTTGACTCAAAGTGTGTGGTAGCATCATAACTCTGTTAAAAATTATTAAATATTATAGTAGACTTATTGATAATATGCATAAGTATATGTGTAAGATAAAGTAAACTCACAGTCGATACAAAGCAGTTGTCTAGAGTGGGTTCATTGACTGGTTCAAATCTATCGTACATATCAAAAAAAATCTCCTCAACAGGTCCTAAAAGGTCAATTCCAGGTTTAAGTTCAATAGCAGGCTGATCTGTCTCTGCCTCAGTTGATACAAATGCAATATATTTTCCCTTTGGGCAAACATTGTGAGAATACGAGCAACAGAATAAGTACCTGCCCCGGAAAACAAAATAAAACAATCAGTGCAACAGAAAAATGCAATCTATGATTTTTTAGATATCAATGCTCAATATTATTTACTTTTTCAATTTCAAAATATGAAATTATCTCAGCATTTTGGTATACGGTGTACCTTGTATATGGAGGATGATTGCAAACATCCAATTGGCCTACCCTAACTAAAAAATAACCTTTTATAGTATTGTTTACTGGGTTTAACAAGCAGCAACTTCATTAACATTACATTTGTAATATCATAAATAATAAGAATTTAATATTGCAATGCTGAGCTAATGGTCCCATTTATAATAACAACTTGAATATAGACAAGAGAAGGATTACTAAGCCTTAAGGCATTTGGTCTTCCATCTTTCGAGAAAGGATGGAAGCTGTGGGGTTGCTTAGCGTATAACCAGACTGCTAGCTAGATGAATCCTACCAGTGATCTGCTGAGTCCAAGACTATTGAGAATTTGGTTTAACACTGATTGATAGTCTGAGTTGGGTGAGCCTGTGCAGACAACAATAAAAATATTTTAACAGTTTAAGGTATGGGTTTCAGGACAATGAATGATGGCAAATGAACAGCACCGGGGTTGGACAGGGGATAAGGAAGTAATGAATTTTGTGGTCTATGAAAGTTGCGAATAGCTAGTTATTGCATGTGACAGAGGTTGGTGGTTCACAAATTAATAATCCCTGGAGGAACATATCTCAATGTTGGTATTTGACACGAGAACACTATGGTGGTAACTAGAAAATATCCAACACCTTCAGATGAGAAACATGCTTAACGGCTTAGGTAGAAAGATGCTCTTAACAGCCATGGGTTGGACAAGGATCCAATTAGCAGCATTGGTGCAGTGCAGACAGGAAAAAAAGAATCAAAGGAGAGGACAGCGGGAGAGAAATTCCAGGAACTTAGTAGTGCAACAATGACAGGAAATGATACCGCCATAACGTAACAGCGCGTTGAGGTTAGGGTTTAAGTTAAAAAGAGAGAACATGAGACAAGACTATGATTAATGTGATATGAAATGAATAATTTAATATTGAGGATACAACTTACTAACCTGAGGGTCCTATTTATACTAATTAATATTTTACACCAACTTGAATACTAGGCAGTATGAGTGTATAACTAGTAATACAAGCTCAACTGAGTTAACCAGAACTTTTAAGCTCATAAGGTTTCTAAACATAATGAGAACCATAATATTTTAACATTGATTTAGTATTTTAGTAGTTTAAGAAATTGAATCCACCACAATCATATCAGTTGTTATCTTTCACATTCCAAAATGACCAATTGCACCATATCATTCAAAAACTGAGTATTGAATTCTATGGCTTTATTGAATACGATAAATATGGATCAGGATTGTGTGCCTTTAAAGGCATGAAAGGCACGGTGCCTTTCCTTTCCATCAATCGTGTTCATCAGATCAATCGGATGCACCAAATAATCCCACATGTCAAATTCCTTTTTAAATAAAAAACATATTTATCTCAAAGCTTATACCCGTCTTAACGCATATTACACAAACCCATCGCAACCTCCCTATGCTCCTGCCACCGACTGGCCTCCCTCTATATACTGCAGTAGCTCCTCCGCGTCGCAAACCGCCGTCTCCACCTACCTGCTACCAACCTTTGCATTCTTTTTCCTCTGTTTGACTGGAATGTTTTCTTTTAACAAAAATAATGATCTATATGTTGTTTGTTATTTATTACTAGTGTAATAGAAACAACATCAAACCTTCTCAGCTCTCCTAAAAAACAACTTAACAGTGTATTAAATAAAAACAATTTCAGTTGCGACTAAAGAAAGGGATTTGGAAGTGTAAAACAATTACAGATCCACCAGTGAGGAAAGCAAGAGAGTGAACACTTGCTTTTTATTTTGAGTTCAATTTGGTACTTATGATTTTAATTAAAATTGACATGTGACATTATGTGATACATCAGATTGATCAAACAGATGAGATTGGAGGAAAGGCTTTCCCACCTTAAAGGCACACAATCCTTATCCGTTAAATATCTAGTATATCTAAAACTATTTCAGTTCTTTAGGCATTCTTCACAATGTTTTGGATGTTACTCATAAAAGAATTTTTATGTACAGGGGGTCACTAAATAGTAAAAAAAAACCTTCATGTCTCCTATATATAATTGAATGTTAAACTACTTTTTTTGATAGTCCTAATAGCAGGATATATCTTGTCAATCTACTGCACATCCTACTGCAATAGATTCTATGAACCTAACCCAATATATATTTTTTGTTATACTAGTTGATAACTTACATGTCTGACTTTCGACCCAATTGCTTCTGTGGGAGAATAACTTGCACCGATTGGGAGTCATTGGTGCTGGGGATCGGATGGCTCATGATGGCTATTGCCCTTGCAACCTTACCAACCTTCCTTACCTGTTGAAATGGATGAAATTTTGTTTAAAACAATGGGGCAATCTTCCAACAAGAGTCATTTCAGAGATTAAAATCAATTCAACATTTGGCACTAATTTCATTTTTTTCTAACTTTAGTCAGGACAAACTTCTTTCAGAAAGAAAGTTCGTAGTAGATTACTAGCGTAGAGCCTTTAGGAGCAAAAAAAATTTCAGTCTCACTATAACCTGAACTGGCATCATGTAGTCAAGAATATGAATTGATTTCTATTACCTTTCCAGGCAAATATGATGGATCACAAACAACTTTCTTGCATTTCGCAGTTTCCCCTTCAGAAGTGACACCAATAACCTTTCCTTCAGCGTCAAATTCTACCTGGAATTCAAGCAAAATAATAAGCAATTTCTAAAGAAAGAATGTATACTGACAGATTGTTCAAATACAGATCAAAATAAAAATTATAAAGAAACGGTCGGATATTCCATTTGAAAGCAATTAACAAAATAAATGACACGCTCAACAAATTTAAGAGGCTATGTGTATTGGGACAGGATTCATTTAACAGAACTGTAAATCAAAACCAAATAACCGAATGAATCATTTTTCCCATATAACCTAGTACAATGGGCATGAATTTTCATATGATTCAATATTGTTTCCCAATCAATAAAAGTGTCTTCCAACAAGCATTGACTAATTAAAAGAAACTACAATATCAACAATTATATTAGATATATATTTAGCATAATTTCATTCAAGATCTAGATAATAACTATAGTCCAATGGATCAATCCAAAAAAATTCTAGTGAAAATTGTAACATTGCAAGTGAGCCAAGTCACACATTTGTGTAAATTAAATGAGAGCATGAGAGAGTGTATGTATCCATAGCAGTGTATAATTGTATGTCTACCTTGCATTCAGGTTTATTCAACATATAGGTACCACCATAAACAGCACTAAGCCTTGCAAATGCCTGAACCAACAAAAGTCAGAGAATTAAAAAACCAAGAGCAAAACAAGTCCAACACACTACATTCTCAACAGGAGATAGAGCAGACAGGTAAATATAGATGTAGAGAGGGATACCTGGGGAAGCTCTCCTAAACCATACAAAGGGTATATGTAGGGTGATCCTCCTTGAAATCGTGCAAGAGACTCTGCATATAACTACAAGTAGGAAATATAAGCCCATGAACAAGGACACAAATAAGAATCCAAATGGAATAGATGAAGCTTTCAATTAAGAAGAACCCATAACTCAGAAAGAATAACAAGTTCATAATAATCCAGCACACTCACTTTCATTCTCTTCACAGTGTCCAGAGCTGGCTCATTCAAGTAGCGATCATCTCTATGTAGCGCCAAAGCATGACCAATGAAATCCACAGTGTTATCATCAAGGCCAAATTTTCTGCCATGGGTCAACAAGAAAGGCAAAAGGATCTTAGAATATTCTTCCTAACCAACCACAAAATGTTATACTTTCCTTCTTAGTATAGGAATGTAGGGATGTGGAGACCTAGTCTACCAATACATATCACATATAAATATAAATGCCAACTTAAAGCAATTCACCACACTTTTAGAATTAGAATTCATGAATATGTATTTAATTTTATATAAAACTGATAGAAGACCCATACACTTACATTTCACTATCGACTCTATGACTAAAAAATTAAAGAGATACCATATTATGTCAAAAGACATGGTAGTTAGTTCAAAACCAACTTCCAACTGATTATGCAGAGTATTAAGGCAATACAAAGGGCACATATACATACGCTATCAGTTCCTTAGTAGTCACTCTTGTCAAGTCCAGCCCTTCATGAGTTTTAGGATCACTCTCATTATAATCTTGAACATATATGAAAAACTTGCGTGCACGTCGTTTTTCAAATATCCCCATAAGTGGGGACTTCAAGGCCTCCATGTCATTTGAAGGTACCTTATGAACCTATAGAAGAGGAATTTCCCAGCAGCAAAGCAATCAATACATCATCATATATCCAATGCAATCAATGTGAAAGAAGGAATTTCCCAGCAGCAAAGCAATCAATACATCATCCTATATCCACTGCAATCAATGTGAAAGAATAAAAAAACACAAACGTACCTTTGCTTTGTTAAAAACAAAACTTCCATCCACAGCTTTAAAATAGAGATACTTTGTAACATCAGTATGAATGAGAACCCTCACTAACATGCCATTAGCCATAATGAACTAGCCATCCAAAAATAATTTTTCATGAAAAAAAACAAAGGGTCAGAAATCTGAATATTGACAATCATATCATAAAACAAGTGTGCATCTATTTTGTGCAGGTCATGAATATATCATACGAGGGTTCTAAAAGTATGTCTGCAAAAAAACAGTATTGGCAAGTTCCGTTGGCGATACTGTTAATCACTGTTTTAATGTTAAGGAACAAATTGTAGTTAATTGACAAGCGACGACCACAATCAGACACCTATACTGACCGCGACTGTTCTAAAGAATTAAATAACAAGTAAACAGAAAATGAATAACCTTAGGGTTCATATCAATATTGTAGTCTTTGCTAGAACCCAAATGTGGAGGAGGCTTATCATCTCCTCTGAATTTCTTCCAAAGCTGAATCATCAAAAAATCAAAAGTATAAATCAAATCAAATCATAATTCATTTCATAGTCACAAAAATCGGATAAGAAGGTTTTTATTCAAAAAAAAAACCTGAATAAGATTAAGCGAGGTGGATTCTCCTCCGTAATAGTCATTTCTATCCATGTGAAGAACCTAAACACGAACGAGTCAAACAAAATTCATCGATCGATTGGATCTATCAGTGAATCAGAAAATCGAATGGTGTGCGAAGTGTTTGTTACCTTGAGGCCATCGACGGAGAGAAGGCCACTGAGAATGCATTCCTTGAGACCAGTTCCCAAAACGATGACGTCGTACTCTTCATCCATTTTCTTGGATCTCGGATCGGAATGAAAAGGGGGTTTAGGGTTTCGTGATTTTGATTAAAATGAAAATCAGAAAAAGACAGAAGAAGAAATTGGATCTTTGATTTGATTGTCAAACAGTCGAAACACTTTGCCTTCAGATTGCTTCTATTCGGTAGTGGTGATGATGCAGTGCAATTTAACGACACTTGCGGAACCTTTATTTTTTTTATTTTCTTTATTTATTTCTTTTTCTTTTATTATTTCTATATTTTTCTTAGGGTATTTTTTCAGGCATCTTTGAATATGATGAGCCTTTGGACTATCATGTGAATATATTTCAATTTTAGTCTAACTTTTATTATGATATAAAAATCCTAAGGTAAAAAAAAAGGAAAGGATTGCATGAATTTACTGGTGAGTAACTTTCATGATTTTAGTACATTTTTAATATAGATATTAGATGAGAGAGAATGATAACTAGAGAGAGATAGAGAGAAAGTTATGAAAGTTACCAAAATCCGAAGTTACTCAAACTTGGTCCCAAAAAAAGTTGGTGTTGAAATAATTTATTTTCAAGAAGTGAATAAAAAACTTTTGAAACCAATATTTTTGTATTTAATTTCTAAACATATAATTTAGTGTTTGTATAAACTTTTTTTTTTCTATTTTACCTTCTATTTCTTTACATTAATAATATAAATTTCTTAAATAAATATAATGTAGTTGTTTTTTTTCTTAAGAAATATAGTGGATAAAATTCACATTTAAGGATGAACAAATAGAATGTCGCGGATTCGAATCTGCGTCATTGTATTTAATGTCTTTGCACAACGACCAACTAAATTGACTTAGCGAAACAATATATTTTAATTGTTGGCATCAAGAAAATATGATGTGTTTGTGTTAGCCTAAAGCACCTAAGTTATAAGATAAGTAAGTTTATCCGAGTGAGTTTTATGGTCATACTCGACTAAAACTTCTCAAGCTCAATCATTTATTTTTCTAATTAGAATCCAATATTTTAGAGCTAATGTAGCTTCATTCAATGGCCTGCCGATTTAGGTAAATGTCTGATGTGTTCTCTGATTGGAGAAGTCATTTTTGAAGGAGAAACTATGTGTTTTTAGGATATGCGTACTCCTTGAATAAAACCTTTAAGGGGTTATAATGGTTTGGACTTAAGTAGATTGAAAAAAGACATACAGCCTTGGCAAGGACGTCGTTCCGTGGAATATGTGACTTGTGTGAGGTTCTTTAAATTTCGTGGGTAACGTAGTTACAGAAATTAATATAATCAATTATGTCTCCCCTATAAGTTGGTTAGATACTTCTCATTCTGTTCTAAGATTCTTCTTATTCGTAGGTTATTTATGGCACATAAAAAGAGCTCGTATGGGTGCCAGAGGATTTGAAAAAGGAATTGATAAAAATTTTGAGCATGTTTGTTCCATGACTCCTCTTAATTTATACATGAAATTAAATGCTTGACGTAAGAATCATTTTAACTTTAGTATAAGTATTGGGTTAAGTCGAGCAATCATATTGAAAAAATGATTTTGTTTCTCAATTAATTTATATCTAATTTTTTTCAAGCTCGATTAAGTGGTGATATAGTCGAGTCGAAAAAAACTGAGCCAACCTAAATCAATAAAATAAAAAAATATATTCACCAAGAAAAATGAGAAAGGGGGATTCGAACCCTCTATAATTCTTTATTTTGAACTATACCGATTTTCAAAACTCGAGCTATCAATCACTCAGCCATCTCTTCAAAAGCTAATTTTTATTTTACCTTTATTTCACTTGAGAGAACATGACCATAGGAATTAATAACCTTTTTATCTATCTATGATAAAGACATCCAATGTGAATCTATTGGTCTAGTTCTCTATCTTTGTGTGTGTGTGTGTGTGTGTGTGTGTGTATTGGTATTTCGATCGAACTCAAGTGTCGACAAGGATAGCTTCACGGTTTGACAAGAGTTGTACATCCTGTAGTCGAAGTTTGTTCAAGCAAGTTGTCAAAATATGTTAGCTTTGTGTTTAAGTTAGCATGTTGAATTGGGGCTTACTTGTAAGCTCAATTGTTAAGTTAACTTATAGTCTAAGTTAGCTTAGTAGTCTATAAATAGACTAGTTCTCTCAGGTTGTTGAGAGAGGTTAATTGCTGGTATTCACTTGTAATCTTTTAATCCTTATTGAGTAAGTGAATAGTAAAATAATTTTAACCAATTATTATTCTTTTTCTTCCGTCTTCTCTATCTTTTGTAAAATCTAATAGGGTTTCTTATGTTTTTTAAGAAACTCAATCTTTTTTCTCATATTTTGGTTTATTTTTTACGACATCAATTTACAATAAAATGGTGCGGTGAGCATGGAGGAGAAGATGTCATCAACAAAGTATTAGATTGATAAATTTACTGTTGTGAAAGATTTCATTTTGTGGCACTTGAAGATGCAATCCCTTCTTGTTCAACAAGGTTTATTATAAGTGTTGAAAGGATCAAAGAAGATTGGTGTTGCCCTATCGGAGAATGAGAAGACAATGATGGTCGAAAAAGTCTACAGTGCCATTGTATTAAGCCTTGGTGATAAGATTCTCTGACAAGTTTCAAAGGAGAAAACTGTAGCTGGTGTGTGGATGAAACTTGAAGGTTTGTACATGACAAAATTGTTGGTTAACCGTCTCTATCTGAAGCAAGATTTGTATTCATTCAAGTCGAGTGAAGATAAAGCCTTGGTTGAGCAGTTGAATATGTTCAACAAGTTTATTCTTGATCTTAACACAATGAATCCATGTGATCGTGATTATTTGTCCTTATGGGGAGTCATATCATTTATATATTTTGTGCCCTTGGTAAATAATTCACACATCTTTCTATCCATAGCACAAGCTACACGTAGACTTTCATTTCCACTTATCATATCTTCGCACAATAAATCCATGTGATCATGAGCATTAACAATACCATCATCGCTCTTGCAAAATCGTCGTGGATATGATCATCGTTCTCTTTAAGCCTTCGAGACTATGTCAACATGTCAACCAATATGCCTGACACATTTTTAACAATATCTTGATTTTCTAGATTGGATTCTTGGGATTCTTCACTAACAGACATATAAATGAGATTATGATTTCTCATCACAATTCCTCCAGTAACTATATCAGTCTTATCAGCATGTGGAAAGTTGTGGATATCAATATCTGGAACAAATTTCTTGTCAAATAGCATGGTTGGACTTCAATATATCAAGAGTGACACCAATTCCAGTTCTACCAAACACACAAACATATTTTTGGTTAAATACAACGTTATACATATGAGAAGGAATGTCATAATTCCTATTATTCTTCAACTCTTTCTTCTTAATCATTATTAGTTGTTCAATGTTAGGAGGACCTCTAACCTGACCATCAACCTTACATTCAATGATAACTCCTTGCTCGAGTCTCATAAAGTCCATATGTGGTAAATCAGAAGTATGAGTAAGATGTTGGAGCATATTGAATGACACCCTGGTTTACTTTTCATCTTGATACATGTCGTGAATTTTACCCTTTTTAATATTGAGTTTTGGCAACCCATTGACACCATCTTCAAGTATGATCTCCTTCATGTTATTAACCTTGGATGAGGGCTGAGAAATCCATATACAACATATGTCTTTGGATCTTAAACCCTTCATTAACACAACTTAATATTTTCTAGAGACAATACAATCTGACTTGTTGTAGTTAACATTCAGACCTTAATCACATAATCGACTTATTCTGACCAAGTTAGCAGTTAATCCTTCTACTAGCAGCACATCATTAAGACATGGTAAATCTGGACTCACCGACTTGCATATCCCCTCAATTATCTCTCTAATTCCATCATCAAATGTCACATAACTATTATAATATTGCTTTAAATCTTCAATATAGCTTCTTTAACCAATCATATGTTATAAACATCCATTATCAAAATATTAATCCTTTCTAGAAGAAACTCTAAAAGGGACATAAGCTAAGAGACATTTGACAGTTTCCTTGGGTTTCCACAATTTTTTAACTTGGGTTTTCTCCCCTTACCCTCCTTTGGACTTTAGATGATCATAAATTTAGGATATCCATAGAGTTTATAGCAAAAAGGTCTTATATGACCATATCTACCATAGTGGTGACATCTATTTGTAGAGTTCTTATAAGTCATATGTTAAGGGTACACATGTTGAGCACGATGATGAGACATGTGGTCCATCATCTGAAACTCGATTCTTTTCTTAGGTGGGACTTTGATTTTTTTTTCATGAAATTATAGTTAAACCCTACAGCCTCCATATTCTCTTCCAATATATCATTCAATTTAAACTATTGTTCTTCAAATGTGCAAATTCTAGAATATTTTCAAGTTTGGACTTTAACAATGTGATTTCTTCTTCCATACCTGAAATGGTAGGGACAAGCTTCTATTTTTAAAGGAGTAGAGCATTTATGATATTCTTTTATTGTATTCTCCCAGACAAGATTCCTTCCATTCAATGAGTAGCTCTCTATAACTTTCAGCAAGTTCTTCTACTGACATCTCTTCATCACTAACCTCACTACAAGATTCATATTTCCCAATGAAGGTCATCACTTTATTAGCTATTTCTCCTTTACTTTTATTATCATATTCATGCCAAGTGATAGATAATCCCTTTTTCCGTTTCTCCAAAAAAGTGGAACATCCAATTTTAATGTGACCAAAATCTTCACATTCAGAACATTGAGCTTATTTGCCTTTAATATCTTTGAAATCATCTTTGCTCTTTTTTGGATACTGGCGTCTAACTTCTTGTCTAGGACATTTGTCTTTCAGTTTATGTACAACTTTTTGAAATCAATATTAAACTTTCTCCCATCAAGTGATATAGCCTCTGAAAAACTTTCTCCGGTATCCTTATTGTAACATCCATTTCTACCTCACAATTAATATGGCAAAACAATCATATTTATCAGAGTAAAATATTGAACGAAATAAAAATCATCTCAAA